ACCAGGAGAGAACAACACATTGTCTGCAATAATTCAAGTGGAGAAGGAGGTAAATTCACCAAATGTATGTGTCGAGTTTGGCAAAGTGGTGTGGCATTATTAAAGGGCTAATTTTATTCATGGGCACCCTCAATGGGGATTGCTATCTCCAAATTCTGAAAGATGCATTACTTGCAGTGTTGCAGAATTGGAATGCAACATGTTCTTTGTGGTGCATTGCCCCATGTAAAGGATGGATTAATTGACATGACCTGGCTCAGAGGCTCTCCTAAATTCACCCCCTAAGACTTCTTCCTTTGAAGAATTCTCAGGAACCCTGAATATGCAAGAGAACTGATATTCATAGAGGAATTTAAGACAGTAATCAGAGTTCCTGTTAGCACCATTTTTTAGAAGTACCATTGCAGAAAGTGTTCATTTGGTCTTGGATAGAAGACTATTATTTGTCTATCACTAAGCATATCAGGTATTAAAACCAAGGAAGCTTTTGGGTAAAAAGCAGGCCTGCCCAGAGGAGGGGTAGCATCAGGGACAATCTGCTGTGGGACTCCTGTATCAAGGGGTCCCAGGGGCCTTCCATGAGACCCAATGTCAAGGTCCGGAAAGGGCCCATCAAGTCATCCCCTTCCAAACAGTGGCTTCCAAGGGGCCTCTGGTTTGGTTTAGTTTTGCCCTGGGCTTCTGGAAACCTCTGGGCAGACCTGGTAAAAAGGCATACTTTTCTTTGGTGCCATGGGTCTATGTGCCAAACACTTCCCTCTGTAAACATAAGTTTAGTGGTGACAGTCTTATAAGTCATCATGCAGATGTATGTGTTGTATCCATAGTATAGAAATGTGCACATGGTTGTAGACGTTACTGTACACAGCTACTGTCTAGTCCCTTTTTGCATAATTATAACATTTTCTTAGTATTCTCACTTCAGATAATTCCATATAAATTAGCATGGTAGGCACAATGTGATATATAAATAAGCTGATGTATCCTAATGTGTTCATTTGTTTCCAAGCATGCTCAAAATCATAGGTAGTTGTATACTGGACCAACATACTATATCCACTCAAAGCCAAGCTGTAAAAGATGAGCAAAGTGTCAAGAGGCTCTCAGGTCAAAGGGAATAACTGCTGATTAATTGCCAAACAGGAGGGCAAAGGGGAATGACAACTGCTATCTCTCTTGTGCAGGCTGAAAGGTCTGATAGTATCTGTAAGCATCAGTCTTGGATATATGATTGAGACTCTTCTTTCCCCTCCTGCTTTCCTTCTTTCCTTCTCCTTCATTAGCATGAGACCACAGAGATATGACAATCCTAGGTTTGAACTGATTCACTATGTGTATTGCCATGTATTCTCACATGGATAACTTTGTGCATGGCAGAATTACATGTTGGTATACATGAAATAATGGTATTCTCAAAATAGGTGTTAGGTGAGAAAATGTATTCACCATGTATTCTTGCATACATGCCACCACGCATGACCATAGATAATTTCATACAGTCGTTCCATTTATGCACTATTTTGAGAATTTTCATACGTGCTACCACTTAGAAAGGAGTATCTACTTGACTTTCTTCCTTTTCCTAGGTTCCCATGATTATGTGACAGGACCCTTTCTCGAAGAAGGAAAAATAACTATGAGAGAAAACATGGAACCACCTGGTGCAGAGGACGAGAGAGATTTAAATCAAAAGCTGAATGGTAAAAATTCTAATCTCTTGATGGTGCGATGCTCTTCCGAAGAGCAGCTGCTTCTTGAAGACAACGACGATTCCAACAACTCCAACAGTGAGGATGCCATTTTGCCCGAGCTGCCTAGTGGCATTTCGTGCACGAGGACGACCGTGGCAGCCCTTAAGTTTGGGGACAGGTCGAAACCCTCTCCGGACAATGCGGATTCAGTGGCATCGCCGGTTACGGATCCTCTGGCAGAAATCCCTAGTACAAATCAGACGGACAAGGCAGATACCCCCCCGGAAACTACCAGTGATACTCAAAATGACAATGAAGGTGCAAAGGAAAAAGAAACAGGGAGCAAGGACCCATCCATCACAGAGGACCAAAGTGACGAAACCCCCTCCAAGAGACAAAAGACTGACGAGAAAGGGATCGGCGAAGGTGTAAACAACGACGACGACGACGACGACCTCCAGGTCATCAGCGAAAAGATAGTGAAGAGATACACCCCCAGGAAACTGAAGCGAAGGCTGAGACCCCGGCACGGCCATCCCTTCCCCTTCCGAGCCAGAGCCAACCTGAACGGTGAGTTCCTCCTCCCCGTGGTCTCCATGAGCAACCCGACCACCTCGCGGAAACTGGCAGCCATGGGGATCAAAAGGATCCTCTCCCTGTCGTCGGTCATGACCGAGGAGCAGTTCCTCCAGATGAGGATCCTTCCGGCCGACGTGGACATCTCCGGAGGCCTGGATCTCGCGAGTTTCCGCTCCGTCAGCATCGGACCCGCCATCCCGACTGGTGAAGTTCCCTAGTCACTTTTCAGGAATGGAATCGTCAGCCTCTTCCGTGAATGTGCTAAGTGAGAATGGCATACGAACAGGTCTCTTATTTTTGTATGAAATTTTCTTTATGTGCATCGTCAGAAGACGAGATCAGTATGATATACTGATATTTTTGGACTCCTGCTCCTCATGCCAATATGAAGAATGATCCATATAGACTGGTGTAAGATTTGTGTTTTATGGAACTCGATCAGGCATTACATGTTTCGTGATCTCTTTTCCAAGGAAAATGAATATTATGCTAGACAAATGACAAATTTATTATTTTTATGTCGTTTCCTCGAACCTTGATGGCAGCGAATAGTATGTTTGAAGCATAAAAACAAATCCCCAAAGTTTGTTTTCAAACCATACAAATTGTCTTAGAGAGCTAATTTCGTGTCTGCTCGTTCCTCGGCACGAAGACGGCACGAATAAACGCTTGAAACTGCCAGCTTCGGCAGAGAGAAAGGCGCAATTGGCCACGATTAGATTAAGCGTAGAGCCATGGACTCCTGACATCAATGTATTCGGTTATTTATTTTTTTTTAAGCCGGGCAGGTCAGGGATCGATGAGACCTTGAATTCTTGGCCAACACTCAAGGACAATAGATCATATATCTCAGAAGCCATGAAGTAAATAAATAGACATGTAGTATCGAAGGGGAAAGTCACCGAGGAACACAGAGATTACCATTCGGATAATAAACAAAGGCCGTCTCTTGTGAGTTCTCTAGTAGGGATGAACCCCCATCATTCATCCCTCATTCAAGGCAAGTCGACCGAGTCGGATTTGCGAGTTCTGCGAAGCACGGGGGAGTGCATGAAGCACGGGGAAGCACGGGGGGTCCCCGACCCGCGCTTCGCAGGAAATGACACCTCGCGTCGAAGAACTCCGGGAATCCTAAACGCCAAGTACTTACGTTTTCGCGTATGCTCCGGCGTGAAAGAAAGGGGAAAACTGAAGGGTGTGGTCGAAGCCGCATTGTGGCCGGTCGCTCCATTGTCTGATTGATGATCGCATTATCTGGGGCATCGGGTAGCTCCCCACCTTAAAAATGCTGTCGGCAAAAAAAAGAAATGCCCGATGATTTTTTTGTGCACGGACGAGGGCGTTTTCCGAGCAGGAATGTGCACGGCTTCCGGCGGGAGAGAAAGTCGGATCCGAATTTCATGTATTTCATGAATATTTTCGTATCCAGGGGTCATGATCAAAAACACCAGGGGAAAGGAATGAATTATCTCAGCCTTCACCCGGAAGGGACGAGAAGAGTTTCGTGAACATCACGTCGCGAGGGGGGGCGATCCCACTTTCTCTTTGTTTTGCGGTGTCCCCCCGCCGTCAAAATTCCGCCCACCATTATTGGTCGCCATGGCGACTATTGACAGCGAAATTACGTGGGAAACGTAATCGGGTGGCTTTGAGTCAATTTTCGCCTGGATTGATTTTTTGTAGGTGGGAGAACAACTCCGTCACGTAATTGCGTGCCGATTTTTGTATTGCTTGCCGATTTTGAAATTGCAATTTATTTGTGTCGGTTGAAGAGACCCCGTTAGAGATATCCACGCACGAGAGGAAGAAACTGTTATCGCGGGTCCGGGTTCTGGCACACTTATTATAATAGTATTAAAAAAAAATATTATCCTGTCTTTACCCGTCCGCATGCCGACATGACTCCGGATTTTTTTTCGCACGCTAAAAAAAAACCGTCTCGACGCCATTACATCGGGGTCACGAGAGCGCCCTTCCTGGAATCACGCAGATAACGCTCTCGCGTAATGGTAAACTCAGAGGTAAACCCGCCAGGCGAATCCTCTCGACTAACGAGGTCGTCTTACCGCATAAACAAGGCGTGCCAAAAAAAAAGAAAGGTGTGAAAAGATTGCCTCTGCCAAAAGCACTTTTCCCTTCTCCCCTGCAACCTCAGTTCCGCAAGATCGATTTCCCCCCACAAAGGGCCAGATTTCATGGCGATGTGGGTCCAGTTATGCGGAAGCGCGGACTCGTTTCGGCTCGGGAATGGTCTCAGCCTTTTCTTTTTATTGCGATGTGTGCCCGGAGGTCCGTTTCCACAGTTTTTCCGTTTCTCGCATTGTTTGTTACCCGGCTGGGTACGGGTTGGAATGTGCAACGTGTGTGATGACGAGTTATTTTTTAATTTTCTATAAATATGTATTTTCATATTTTTTTTAAGGACTACTTTTGGTTTTGTAAGTCTGCTGTAGCAATCTAGCAGCCTAGTTCCAGTTTTTACTTTTGTTTATTTTTCCATCATTATCTGTACTCTACATTTAAATTTTATTTTTGATAATCCCATCACCGCATTTCTAATAACACCCGACGCATATAAGGCGATGTCAGGGACGTATGGAAAAGAAAGAAGACGAATCATTCACACCCGGCATTGTGTCCGCGCCTCGAGAAAGTGCGCACGAGCCATTGTCTCCCGAGCGCAGACTCCCGAATGTATTTATACACACAACCGGGAGACGCCGGAATCCTCCACGCTCCCGTGCACTTCGCACCTGAGACCGACCCCGTCACCGCGGACCGTCGTCACCGAGGACCATCGTCACCATCCATCGTTTCACAAGAACGTCAGAGAAGCCTTGGCATCCAGTCGTGTGGAGCCGGGGATCCTCGAGCGCAGTGCAACGGCAACAGTGACGCAACAGCAGCGAGGCTCATTCACGAAAGGGATGCTCCCCCGTCCACATCCCTGAAGCAGCCCTTCCTCCCTTGGCCCTTCCTCCCGTGGTCCTTCCTCCATCGAGACTCGATCTCCTCGCGGAATGGACAGGAAGGTCGTCGCCGTCTTCGCCGGGCTCCTCGCCCTCCTCTTCGCTGCCTTCGCGGCCGTCTTCGTCCTTTATCTTCAGGAGCGTCTCAACGATGTAAGTCAAACTTTATTTTATTATATTATTATTATTATTTATCAATATTTTTTACTTAAAATTTATCAAGTTCCTTATTTAGCTCTTGTAATATGGAAACAATCTACCGCTGTGGGTGCCGGCCGGCATGATGAACTTTCAAAATAGACGTTATCGATATTTTGTATAATTTTTTTTTGTTTTTGCAATTTTCCTCGAGAAGTCGCAGCCTCATTTTAGCACGAGAGAGAAAAAAAAGAGTTTCAGCATATTCCTCTCCGGAAATGATAACATAGCGGAAAATCATTTTCGCCTTGTCGCAAGAGTCCCCATTGTTACGCTCCAGCCTGCCGCATCCGTTCTCCCCTTTTTCGGCGAGCCTCCTTTGAAAACGAAATGAGGCGCCTTTGAAAAACGAAATGAGGCGCCTCAGAAAGCGAAGCGAGGCGCCTCAGAAAGCGAAGCGAGGCTCCTTAGAAAGCGAAGCGAGGCTCCTTATGAGTTGTGCAACCGCCCGGATGCGTCGTCAAGGTTGTCGCCAATTCTCCTCGACTCGAAACCGGATTACGCAAAATTTATTCCAGGCGCAAATTCGCAAAAAATTTGCAAAGAAATTGGCAAATAATGCAAAATTGTCTCTCGTGAAGGAACATCGAGGTCGGCACCATCATCCATTATTCCCCCTAATTATCTCTGACGTCACACTCTCAGACTCCAAAGACTTTGCCCTTAAAAAAAGGCCTTTATGAGAAAAGGACCGCTTTGAACTCAGCGAGCCCCATTTCCCTCGCCATAATTGGGTTTAATCCTTTTTTTTTTTCCAAACTCACCCTTTTGCTTTCGGTCGGATGATCTTCGCGCTGCACACACGCGATGATCTAATCCAACGGAAGCGTGACCCATCGTATCGATCACGCTCACCCTCATGATCACGCTCACCCTCACGATCGTGCTCGTGCTTTCGTGCCGCAAGTATTTATTTCTCTCCCTCGAAGAGGATGCGGGGCCGGCACACCAACGGCCGGCACGTGGCCCACCGGTGACCACATTCGGTTACGAGCGAGGCATGACGAGTCCGGTGCGCGAGGGCATGAGGGCGAGGGCATGAGCTGCCCGATGATTAATTTCATTCATTGATCCAATCAGATGAAAGCGCTTTCATGCAACTTTTCCATTATTTTTTCGGGGAGGAAAGAAAGTTTCGACATGAATTTATGGACTTGCCTAATTTATGGCATGTCTGTCTTGCCATCGGATATGCAATTTGCATATCCGTGCAATTTGCATGCGGATTTTTTTATCCGGCCGAAACTCGGGAAATTCCCTCCTTTTTCTGATCGCAGAAAGTTTTCCGCCAACAGGATGCCAAATTGAGCGGAATTGCGCAATTACCAAAATAGGGCGCGACATTATTTACATCATTATTTATGATATTATCTTAGCCAGAGGACAATCGAGTTGCACAAGGAAATTGGAACGTCGGCGTGTGACGTCATCAAAAGTCGCGTGACGTCATATGAAAGGTGTCGCAAACGCCTCGCGCGTTTTTCCCGCGGAACGAAAAACAATGCGCCGATAAAAAAAAAATTTGCCCATTGCGCAAAAAAATCGGCGATGAGGGACCTGCATGGTTTTGCGACATTCGCCGGATTTCCCGCCTCCTCGGCCGGATGAACGCGTTGAATCAATACGCGCAAAAGCGATTTCCGCTTCCGGGAAGTTCCTCTTCGGAATGCCGGCGGAGAGACGTCATTCTGGAGGGAATGATGGCTTAGATGTCACTCCGGAAGGGATGCATTTCTAATTACGCTAAATTACTCTTGATTGCGCCGATCTCGAGTGGCAATAAAACGCGACCAAAAATAGTCAAATGCGACCGAAAATAGCCAAATACGACCGAAAACAGGCAAATGCGACCGAAAATAGCCAAATACGACCGAAAACAGTCAAGAAGAAAACGCGAAATGCGATCTGATATGACGCCGCCAGAAATCCATCCAGCATGACGTTTGCGAAAAAATGAGCTCGCAAATTTATCGGCCGCCAGCAATAACAGCGGCTGTAATGGCTAATTGTAATGGCTAATCCGGCCGGATGAATCGTGCGGATTTAATTAAGGAAATTCCGCGCTGGCCGTTTTTCCGCTTTCGCCGACCTGAAAGACAGAAACGAGTTCGCCGATTTTTTTCTATTGCTTTTCGTTGTGGTGATTTAATTTTAAAAATATAATTTAAATTATAAATGCAATTAATTTGCAGAATTGCGTCGGGTCGATCCGAATTTTATTCCGGCGATAGCTTGATTTTAAATATGCATTAAATTCGAAACTCTTTCTTTTATATTTAACTCTGTGCTAAATCACTCTGCAGAAAAATTGCGACGCAAAAACTGATCATCCACTCTGTATGGCTTCGTGGAAGCCGACAATGGGCCGACAACATGTCGACAATGGGCCGACAACATGTCGACAATGGGCCGACAACATGTCGACAATGGGCCGACAACATGTCGACAATGGGCCGACAACATGTCGACAATGGGCCGACAATGGGTCGATGCGAATTCATTTGCGGCTGTCGTGAATTTCGCAGGGCTCTGACCTTCAGATGACCTTGAAGAACGAAGGCGAGGTACTTAAAAGTCCTCCGAAGGCCGCACGCGCAGTGGCGGCGGATCTCGCCAGGTGGAATCTCTAACAGGTGGAATCTCTAACAGGTGGAATCTCTAACAGGTGGAATCTCTAACAGGTGGAATCTCTAACAGGTGAAATTTTTAACAGGTGAAATTTTTAACAGGTGGAATCCCCAAATATCCGCGCAATTTCCCCTGAATGCAAACCGATCAGAATTTTCACTTTCCAAACGCTTTGCTTGCAAATAGATGGAAAGGGCGCTTCCGGTTCATTCTGGTTTATTCCGGTTGAAAACGAAAGCAAGCGAGCGAGGCTCAGCGATCGCTATCGATCGTGGCTCAGCGATCGCTATCGATCGCACGTGCTTTTTGTTTCCATCGAGTGCGATAAAATGAAATGAGGACATGTTCATTATTAAAAAATGGGGACATGTTCATTAAAAAAAAACCTTTCGCAACGAGGAACGTTCGCGATGTTCCCGAGGAACGTTCGCGATGTTCCCGAGGAACGTTCGCGATGTTCCCGAGGAACGTTCGCGATGTTCCCGAGGAACGTTCTCGATGTTCCCGAGGAACGTTCTCGCAAGGGACAGGCGTTAATGGCATCGCTTTCATGTCGCTTCAATTTTTTTTTTTCTCTCATGGATCTGTCCGCACGTCTCGACACGCCATGCGCTGAGATGCAGTCGACACCGTCCATTACGGGTGGACAATGCCTTGCAGGAATGCGAAGTGCTTTGCAGGGATGAGGATTGCGTGGCAGGGATGAGGATTGCGTAGCAGGGATGGAGCCCGGATTTAAACGGCGCAGTCGGGTCCACTCGGCGCGGCCATTCGTAATGGGAGCATGCGATGGTATGTAATGGGGGCGTGTGATGGCATTTAATGGCACGTAACGAGAGTAGCCATTGCACTTTCTTCAAAGAAGCTTTAATAATGAAGAGCGCGATCGGATGTCACTTGACAAACAAGCTGAAGATATCGGATGGCGAATACGGAACGAGAAGCCCGGCAACAGAGGCGTCGTATTCTGCGGGGCATCCGTGGAAAGGGTTAAAGGGGAACATCCAATGAAAGGGAGGGAAGGAGGTAGAAGGGAGGAAGGAAGGGGAGGAGGTAGAAGGGAGGAAGGAAGGGGAGGAGGTAGAAGGGAGGAGAGGAGGGAAGAAGGGGAGAAGGGAGGAGAGGAGGAGTGAGGGGAGTCTGCTAGCCGTTTTTGTCCATATGAATATAGATACCGGGTGGATCGTAACGATATCGAGATATTGTGCCGGGATATTTCCCGGCACAGGAAGGGCATAGAAAGGAAATGACATTCCAATGGATGCAGAATCCCGGGATTCTGCATCCGGCACGCCGGAACTCCTCCCAGGAAGCGCTCGCAATACCTCCACGGTCACGGTCATGCTCTCCCCCGATCCCCATCCATGTCGCGCGCTTTTCGGAGACGCGGAGCGTTGCGGCCGCGCACCGTTGCGGGGACGCAGCGGAGCGTGCTTCGTCTGCAAAGCGTGATGCGGTCCGTGAATTAAACACGTTTTATATTTGCGTTTTTATTAAGTATTAATTATTTCTAAAAATTTTTAAATTAAATTTAAATCGTCACATTCAGATATAGAAATTGAAAAAAAAATTAAATTCAGGGCATGAGAAATAAAAAAGCGAGACCGACCCGAATCTCCTCGGCCCGACGCAATCTGATGCCGTCTCGCCGCATTTGAATTTCCAGGAGCCAGCCTCTGTTTGCATTTCCATGCATTCGGTTTTCCCTCCGGTCGTATTTCAGCGTTTGCATTTCCTTCTTTCACTTTCGTGTTTCCAGATTTGACTTGGAAAAGCCTTTAATCGTGCGCTTTCAAAACTCCTGGCTCGATTTTTCCGGCGAATCGCGGCAGGTTCGGTCGTGAAAGGATGCGAGCGTCCATCTAGCCTCCGCTTCCAGGAACACGCGCCTGTTGCGCCCGTCGCGCCTGTTCCCCCCAAGCAATTCTACGCTTAAAATTCTCTCTAAAGCAACCCCAACCAACCCTCCAAAATCGATAAAATAACTCCATCCCACTGATAAGAAATAAATAATTTCCCCCAGGAGACCCCCACCGCCCACCGCACCTCCGACTGCTCCCGCCCCAGCTGCATCCACGCCGCCCACCGCATCCTCAGCACCCTCGACCCCACCGTCGACCCCTGCACCGACTTCTTCCTCTTCGCCTGCGGCGGCTGGCTCCGGGAACATCCCCTCCCGCCCGACCGGCTCTTCTTCTCCAGGCATCTCGACGGCGTTCGCGAGGACGTCGATCAGGAGCTGCTCGGTCTGCTTCCTTTCTCTATCCATCTCTGATTATTTATTATTAAATTTTATAAATATTTAAATTCATAAATATGAAATTATATAAATATTGTAAAGTATTAAATTATGAAAACTTCTGAATTAATTATATTAATTAGGATTCATTGAGGCTCATTATTTCCTTCTGAACTCTGTTAGATAATTATTTCAAGCTGAATGAAAACCCTTTGAGCACTCGAAGTGACAGCACTATCTGCCAAAAAAAAAGAAGCCTTTTACGTGGGCCGCCTTTTAGATAAGGCCGCCTTGTGGGAAGTGGGAGGCTTGTGCGGTGGCCAACAATTTCATTGCAGCGGCAATATTGGTCTCTGTGTTTCTTCCAGATATATATATCTATATATATATTTATTTATGTGTCTCTCTTATTGAATTGTTTCCCGGAAACATTATTATTGACGCAATATGATTCTTATTGATGCAATATGACTAACATTGTTTACTCCTTTCACGCCTTATAAGAAGTATTAATAGGTCGAAGTGCGGATACTAGAGAGTTTTAGAAAAGGCTCTTGCCTCCTGGCTTTCTTGCCTCCTGGCCTTGCCCTTTGGTGACAGGCAAAAAAAAAAAAAAAGCTCATGTGAACCCGATTCCCGAGGAGTCGAGCAGACGACGGGCGTGACGTCACAGGCGGATGATTCAGGGTGAAGGCACGGTGAACGCAGGGTGAACGCAGGGTGAACACAGGGTGAATGTTTTCAGATCTGCTGAAGCCCGAGAGCCGGGTGAGAGGGGATTTCCCGCCCTTCCAAAAATTGAGGGAATTCCACCAAATGTGCCTGTCGGCTGGGGACATCAAACACGACGAGCAAATCGCTCATACACGTAAGTCAAATAAATATACATATAATAAAAATAATTCTACAAAATAATAATAAAAGATAAAAATGTTAATTTAAAAAATTTCAGTGAAAAGAATCGCAACAGGTGCGAAACTCCCTGAGAAACGCCGTCATACGTTATGAGACTTTCAAAAATAATTTTTCGTGGCACTTTCTGACGTGGAAAGGAGCGAGGAAAAAAAATGTGTCGCGATCCGAGGAGAAAAAAAGTGCGATTGCGTAGGGTGCCTGCCGGAAATGAGAGGAAGATGTAATGAGAGGAAGATGTTTCGTTTCGCAACCGAGAAGTTCGCCAAGGACGTAATGCGCGCGTGTCCGATGAGAAATGCGCTGTCGGCTCGGTCGGGCGGTTCGGGCCCGCAAGAATTTGCGCTGGAGATTGGCGAAAGGTTGGCGAAGGATTCGGTCGGTCGATCCGCAAGGGATCGGTGAAATATAAAGTATTAATAAAATTAGACGTGAAAATTAAATATGTGTAAAATTATAATTAAGGACGGAACAAAAATATGAAATAGAATAAACGAGAATTAAGTAAAGAAAAAAAAATTTAATATATAATACGATGTGATAACATATATATATATATATATATATATAGTGTTACGGATCCTGAACGAAGCCGGGGGCTTCAGAGGACCCGAGGGCTGGGACGACTCCGGCTTCGACCTGACCCAGCACCTGGGTGGACTCCTCAAGAGGCACTCGGGGTCGTTCCTGGATGTCACAGTGGATGTGGATATCAGGAATGCGACGAGGTTTGCGTTGCATGTCGTCCCGCCGAATCAAAAGGCGGTCATCTCGTCGCATTCGAGGGCGGAGACGCAGGAGGTCATTGAGAATCAGCAGGTGAGGGGGTTGCTTAGGGGAGGGGGGGGTTGCTCAGGCCACTTCGGGGTTTGCTTGGGGTATTTCCGGGTTTGCTTAGATTGCTTGAGGGTTTGCTTATGTTACTTGGGAAATTTAGGGGTGGGGGTGATTGTCGGTTTTGGAGTGGGAGACCGGGATTTTTTCTTTTGGCGGTTGGCTTCCATTGCATGTTTTTGGGGTCGAGTTCGTCGCTGCCAGAGCTAAAAATAAAATCGTCTGAAATTCGCTTTTTTTTTCCAAGCCTTCTAAAATTCATCACAGAAAGGAGAAAGTCTTTTTCCCTCGAATTTCCCTCGAATTTCCCTCGTGGGATTCGCTTCTGCGAATTCGAGTCAGGCGCTTCCGACAATGGCGGGGGCAATCATTGTCTCCCGCCGTGAATCGCAAAGGATCGTCCCTGAAAAGGTCGAAATTGAATATAATGAGGGATGTCATGAAATCGGCATATAATGAGGGACGTCATGAAATCGGCATGTAAGGAGGGCCGTCATGAAATATGGATGAAACCGCCGCGTCGTCCTCTCTCGATTTTCCCGGAAAAAAAATTTTTTTCCCCTCGATTTTCCGCCAGACGAATCCGGACGTCCAGGCCCTGTTCCGCCTGGCCCTCGACGACGCGACCGGCCACGAAGAGCAAGGTCAAGGACCCAAAAAGGTCAAAAAGAGACCTCGGTCCCTCAACTCCACCGTTCTCCACAACTTTTTGCAGGTAAGGAAAATTTAATTAAATTTTGCAGGAAAATTTAATTTTTCTGAATTTAGCGCAATTTGATAAAATTAAATCAAGTTGAGCCATTTAATTAAGCTATGTTAATTATGTCAAATTAGGAGCCAAATTCTACGTTAAATTACGTCAAGTTACACTGTAATTACTAACGTGATTAATATACGTAATGAGTTATGTAATTAAGCTCAGTCACAAGATTACGCTGAGTAATGGAAATCAGAAGAATTAATTCAAGGAACGAAAAACCAGCGAAAGAGATCCGACGCGCACTATCTTGCTCGGGATTCCTCTGAGGTCGCGGGGAGGGCGATTTCTCACGGGAGCATCCCAAGGACTCTTCGCGGGCTCCTCACAGGCTCCTCACGTGCGGCACCGGCGCGCGAGGCGCGCCTCGTCACGTCTCCCCCCGGCGAGATCCGGCGCGATACCGGCTGGGATATTAATGGAGACGAGGGAATTTGCAAGGACCTCTAACTGTTAACCTTTATTTTTTTTTTTGCTTCGTTCCAAAAATGAGCATGGAAGGCCGGTCCCTTCAACGATTAACTTCCTCACTGTCGAAGACAACTCGTCTGGGTGCGAAGGGAATTTCCCTTGAGGCTGCGAAAATGATAAACGAAAATGCTTCACCAAAACTTTTTAATATTCCCAACCTCAGTGAAAGAACGGAAAATAGTGCTGTGCACTCAATCATGTACTGTCGTGTGTACTGTAATGTGTATTGTAATGGACACTGTAATACGTATTCTAATGGGCCCTGAAATGCGTATTGTAATGGACATTGTAATGTGCACTGTAAAGTACATGCAGATGCATTTCAGCGCAACTTCACCAATTAAAGCTGAATTCGGGCACTAAAATGGACTCGATCGGAATCCCAGGAGTCCGTGACGGCGATGCAGGCCTCGGAGGTCCTGGAAGTACTGGAAATACTGGGCCTGTACGTCCCCTCCGAGGGACCCGCCCCGCTCGAGCCCCGTCCCCCCTTCCCCCGGCCGGGCCCGGGCCCCGGAAAAACGAACCTGAGCTCCCTCCTGGCCTCGGCCCGAGACGATTTCCACCGGGCGCTGGTGCTTCTCAACGCGGTCAAGCAGGTCCGCCGAGATTTCCATTTTTATTTATGGATTTCATTTTCCTCGGTGGTTTTCGGGGTGTTGGATATTAGCAAGTGGGGTATTTAAGTTTAAAAGAAGCTTTCTGCTATTTTTTCCATCGCGTTCGATTCGGTTATCCGTTAATCCTTAACCCGTTGACGTCAGGCGTCGCCGTCGGAGAAGGAGCAGAAGATGGGAGCCCGAGAGCTGGAGACATTCCAGCACATCCTCACCGTGTCCCAGCTGAGCCACCGGCATCCCTTCGTGAGTCCCAGCGACCTCCAGGGATGTCAGTCCTCGGTGGATGACGGTTGGATGACGGGTGGATGACGGGTGGATGACGGTGGTTGTTCCAGATAGATTGGAAGCGCCTCCTGGCGATGCTCCTGGGGAGGGAGGCGGATCCCGGCGAGGAGGTCTTCGTCGTCGCTCCGGATTACTTGGACAAGTTGGCCGACATCCTCGACCAGGCCGACAATCGGTGCGAAGGTCCTTCATTCTCGACTCCGTTTGTCATTGAAAGCCACGAAAACCTCGAGGGATGAATTGCGAAGGGACTGATCGGGGAATGAAAGCGATTCCGTGCGATCGAGCGGGCTATTTATCGACGAGGTGAGGTGTCCACCACCTTGTGGTGGTGGACACCTCAATCCACCTTGCGAGGTGGCACCTTGCGAGGCGACGCGAGAGAAAGACGTAATCGAGCGGAGATGCTCCATCGCGGCCGACCTCCGCCGCCGACTCCCTCCCATCAATTCCGAACGGAGTCAAGGGCGTCGAGAGAGACTTTAATGATCCTTTTGATCCGTCGCGGGGCCTCGGAGTCTCCCTTGGGGCCTCGGAGTCTCCCTTGGGGCCTCGGAGTCTCCCTTCGTCAACGCGGAACGGCGGTCGGTCGGCCCTCAGACAGCAGGAAAATCGACACTGACGATCCACGTCGCTCGACCGATGATCCACGTCGCTCGACCGATGATCCACGTCGCTCCACCGATGATCCATGTCGCTGTTGCCAATCGTTCGTGACGACCCTACGCATCCGGACCGACCGTTGCGCAATCGACAACATTCGATTCAACTTGAAGGAGACTCCCAAGAGACCAGGGTCGAGGGCAAAGCCACGTGCCGACTCTCTCCTCCTTCCCGACCTCCCTCCGCCCCATCACGCGACACCTCCCCCGCGACGATCGCCGAGCCCTCTCGTCGCCCATCCGATGTCACTCGCGTTAATTCCACTCGATGTCGAAAATCCTCCGATTTTCCGATCTTTGCTTTCCCACAATCTTAAACTTATTCACAAGAGTCTCGTTCTTTCATATATAATAAATTTTTAAAATGTTACATCTCAACCCGTTTTTATATCCTTTAAATTGAAAATTTTTATTATTAGTTATTATTTAAAATTATATATTTTTTATTCCGTCGATCCAGCACGATCCACAACGCCCTGACGATGGGCTTCCTCCGCGACACCCTGATGGAGCTGGTGGCATTCCCGCCCCACGGAGACAAGGACCGGTTCTGCCTCGAGGCCACGAAGATGACCCTGTCCGTGCCGCTGGCCAGCCTCTTCCTCTACGCGCAGAAGGCGGGGGACCTCCGCGAGATCCGTCGCAAGGTAGGTCCGCGGCGCGAACGATCGCCGCGGTCGGCTGCGATTTTCGCAGGCGGATTCCGTCGGAATTTCGCGTCGTCGGCAAACCGCGTCCCCTTGCGTCCACTTGCGTCCACTTGCGTCAACATGCGCGAGTTCGATGAGGCTTCTCCGCCGCGACGTTCATCGAAAGGAAGCCGGTTGAAAAATTGCACCGAATCAATTATGCATATAACAATGATTAATTGATTAATGCAGACATGATCCCGGCTGCATAACTTCACTCCATCTCACTTTCCCCTTTAATGATGAGCTCCAAGGTCGTAGAATAATATCCCCCCTGCCGAGAGAGCTGTAACCGCGCGGTAACAGGCAGCGGTAACCGATCAGAGCCGATTCCACGCCAAATCGCCGTTGCAAAACTCCTGCAGCCGCTTCTGCGAGAAACGCCCATGACCCACAAAGAGACGCGTCGGGGCCAACCGCGCAGTGACGTCACCGACAGGAAATGGGGTGGGAGGGGGGGGGGGGGGTCGGAGCCACCGCGATGTAAAAAATCCCCAGAAGTCGAAATTCCCAGGGGTTCCTCGTGCAAATTACGCGGCGGATGAATCGGGATGCCGAGAGAAATTGCGAAACTTTATAATAAAAAGGACATATCTGCAGAGCTGCCATCTCCCGGCAGACATAAGCACTACCACTTTCGCCGCAACTTTCGAATATTTCGCGGAAGAAACGGCGAGTTCCCCGCCGAAATTCGGCAAGGACGCCGCCCCCGCCCCGCCCCGAAGGGCGCCCGAATCCCCCGGCGAAACCCCGACCGCCCCCGCCGCAACAGCCGCCGACCGCGGCGACGCCATTCCCCCTTTCACTTTCCGTTCCCGGAGCGGCGACCGGCGAGACGCACGACGATCGTGACGGAACTTAATGGCCCGACCGATGCGGCAGCACTCAGAGCCGTTCACGCGTCTTCACCCGATTCCCAAGCAATTACGCAATCATCATTTCATTTTCATTCATTTTTTATAAATTCATTTTCATTCATATTTTATCATTTCATTTTCATTCATTTTTATCATTTCATTTTTAATCATTTATTCATTAATGATTCACCGACAAGAAAATCGACCCTGAAAATCACCTTAAATTTTTTTGCAAATTCCACCTCCCCTCCCCGCCCCGCCCCGCCCCGCCCCCCTTCAGGTGAAGGAACTGTGGGACTCGGTGAAATCCACGTACATGGACGCCCTCGGCTCGAACCCCTCGCTGGACGCGGACGTGAAGGACTTCCACCTCTCCCGCGTCCAGGGGATCGCCGAGTTCTTCGTCACGGCCGACTTCTTCTTCGAGGACCCGGTCATCGCCGCCTTCGCCGACTCGGTAACGCCCCCGTCCCCCTCCTTTTGCCAATTTTCCCAACTCGCAAAATTTTGCACGCTGCGCTCCCGCAGTTCTCCATGAACCGGACCAACTTCCTGGAGTCCGTCTCCGAGAGCTACCGGGATCAACGCCGGGAATACTACGCCCTCCTGAACAACACGCCGAACGCCATTCAGACCGCGTCTGTCATTTATTCATTTGTTTCATTCTTTTATTTATTGATAATGAGTGGTAAATGAATCGCTATTTTTTGCAAGTTGCAAATTTTTTTCGAAATATTTTTGCAAATACTTTTGCATAATTTTTTACTGTAAATTTTTTTGGCAGTATTTGTCCAAGGTAAAAAAAAATTCAAGATCAAAATGTAATCAAGGTTAAAAGATGGTCAAGGTCAACAGGTCAAGGTCAGAATAACGGCGGTGAAATTTGCGACGATCTGGATAGAATACGCATTTAAGTATCTCGAAAGTTAAACTTGACCGCGGTTAAAGAACGGCGGCGTCCCAGGACGGGCAATTAAAGGATGAAATTCCAAAGCAATTAATCATTGCCGCCTCCTTGATGATGGCGGGGGCGGGGACGGGGACGAGGGGGGGCGGGGACGGGGGGGGGACGGGGCGGGGACGGGGGCGGATTCAGACGAGCCGCAATTGCCCTGTAATTATCTGAAGATTAAAGGGTGCGCGAAAAGCTCGTGACGTCACATGCAATTTTTTTTTCCCACAGAAATGATACATTGTGAGAAATCAAGTCATGAACGGTTGCGAAATGTTTAATTGCGTGGAACATGAATGCGAAATGAATTTGTGACTTTCGTTCCAGGTGGGCCTTCCGCACTCCGCCGTACGTCGTGAACGCCTTCTACGGGTTGGATTTCAACAACATCGGTGAGGGGATGTCGTGTTTTAGTTTTTATTATTTAAACTTTCATTAGGTGAATTTCTTTTTATTTTTAAAAATTAGTTTAAAATTTGTTATTCTAAAAATATTGTTTACGTTTTTAATTAATTCCTTTTGGTCGCTTGCCAGACGGGGATGAATGAAGGCCTTTGCGAAGGAAAGAGCGAGTCTTTTGAATGGTGAATATCACATCTAAGTCAAATCTAGCATTGAGAAGTTATTGATGTTCAAGAGGTGCATGAGACTTTTTACTCACCCTGTGCAATGTCAAATTGGGGCCTCCAAGGCTTCCAAGTCGGGGACCTCCTGACTGCCGGTCAAGTGTGCTAACACTACACCACCGTACCAAAGACGATAGATCTACTCCCTGCCAACACTATAACATGAGAGGGAGGCATTCTATGCACACACCCACACCCCCCCCCCCCCCCCCCCCCCCCCTCATCCCCGGGGGGGTCAAAGGTCCAGAGACCCTTGGAGATATTGTTTGCAAAAATTTCGCAACGTCCTCGGCTTCCTTGTTTGGCAACACCGACGTCGATCGAAAGAATGGGAACGTTCCGTTTATTTTCAACTTTCTTTCCTTCGTGTTTCGTCACTCTCTCTGGCCATTCTTTTTTTTTGCAATCTCGACGTTTTCGCACTTTTTGCGAAATTTCAGGGAATTCGCTCCTGCACGGGCGGATGTAATTTGCAACCGCGAAATTGATTGTCTCACGCACCGATCGTTCGATTCGACCTCGATCGTCCTCGAGGCTTCGATTAATATTTACAATTCAAATCGCGAGACGACCTTGCGAGAAAAAAAAAATCCGACGGTTTTTTTGTTGTTGTTGCAGTGCTTCCGTTCGCCTTCCTGAAGAAGCCGAATTTCTTCACGGACGCCCCGCACTACATGCTCTTTGGGAGCATGGGTCACACCCTGGCCCACGAGGTCACTCACATGTTCGACCGAAGAGGTAAGCAATAAGATATAAGGCTGAGGGAGGGAGGGAGTGAGTGAGGAGGAGGAGGAAAGAGGAGAGAGAGGAGAGAGGAAGGAGGAAGGAGGAGGGAGGAGGGAACCGGGAGCCGGGAGCTGTCACTGACGCAATCGCGTGTCGTTTGTCTAGAAGAATTCAAATGGTGTCACGAGGGATTCAAATGGTGTCACGGGGGATTCAAATGGTGAAAGGCTTCCAAGGATCACTCCAACCTCCCATGACATCCACTTGACATCCCGCGACATCCACTTGATAGTCTCCGGAAGACTTGAGTGCGCTGAAGCGAGCAGCAACGTCGTCCCTTTCCCGTTCGGAACGATTCCGCGCGCGCTTTTCGGGAATGAGTTTCATTTCGATCCGGACTGCGGTCGCGCTGTGACAATAAACACTTTCGGTAGGAAGGGAAACTTTCTCGAAATTGGGGGGTTGCCAAGTTGTCAAAAATCGGAATCTTTAATGTTTCGGCTCGGCATTCTTTCAACTGAATTAATGTTACGTAACATCGATGGAAGGGTCAAAATGCATTCAAAACAGGGGTTAGCAGGATTGTCAGACGTCATGTTTCACGGATTTGGATGGCAACCCTGTCCCGCCGCCTTGCGAGGCCTCGTTCTCCTTCTCAAGAATGAGTCTGTCAACGACGAAAGCAAGACCTCGACCAAGGCCCCCGTTTCTCAGCCGAATCAGTTTTTTTTTTCTCGGCCTCTGACGTCACGACTATCCGAACAACACTGCTGCGGGAATCATGGCCGCGGTGTTGCGTCTCGATGGACGAATGCCACTAGGCTCTGGAATCTCGGCGGAGTTCCTCGGGATCACTCGGACTTGGCTAAATACCTCTGCTTTTACAGAATTCTGAATTCGATTAGGGCGATAGTATCGTAAAAAATTAAGTTCAACAGCGAAAGTGGAACTCGCAAAGGACGACCCTACACGTTTCTTTGTTCTGAAGAAAGAAGGCCTACCAAGAAAAACAACATTCTAACCTTTGATCTTTGTTCAGGATTCGCCTCTAGCTGCATCTCGCACATATTCCGACATCATTTCGGGTTACCCGCGCCGCAAGCCCAAAATCATTCCCCAATCCGGGTGGACTCGGCTGTGAAAGCGGTAACTACGCCATCTGTTTTTAAAAACCGTTAAGAGTTAGGCTACTCCCGTCACAAGCCTTCAACGCCTGAGCGTTGAGGTCTCAAGAGCGCAGCCAATAGCATTGCTGGAACCCCGTGATGTCATGAATCTTTTTCACCAATCGGGTGCGATCAGACCGGTCACGTGATCTCGATCTGCCATCGTATCATGGCAACTGAAGCAAGTCAATTCGGTGAATGAGACATTTCGTCAGGGTTTTCTCAAGATTACCGTTGAAAAGAAACGTGACTCCCGACGTTTCTTTGCAACAGCAGGATTGAGAAAGGTAAGAAATGAGAAGAACCAGCCGACTCGCTCCTGTTTCGAAACTGTCTCAATTTCGATCCCCAGTCGGGTCATTTCGAATCCAAACTCATAAAATTCTGAGCGTTTCGAGGCCAACAGCCCCCGGCAAAGAGAAAACTCCGGCACAAATCAATTCCTTTTGCGAACCGTCAGCAGGAAGTTACTCAAGGGGCACGACCCCGTTCGAGAACCGGTCCTCTTCGTTGCGCAACGCCGTGGACTCGAGCCGAAATGAAAGAGTCACGACTTCGAGTTGACACTCTTTCGATTAATTTACATTACTCCTGATCGTGGGTCAATCGATCCGATCGAGTAAATAATGGGGTTAAGAAGCTAATCGAATTTTGTTCATATTCTATGATAATCGTGTTTTCATCGTTCAAGCATTAGTAATTCGTTGTAATTGCATATTAGTGACTGACTTAAATTTAAAAATGAATCACGCAGGAAGATTCTAAATTTAACCCGAAAATGTGGGCGAGGTCTAAAATGTCCGATGAGAGACATCTAGTGCAGATTGGTTGAAGCTCGGCGGTCTCCGAGGCCTTCGTTGGAAAGGCTGAAAGGAAGTTTCCTCTTTTTCTGTGAGAATGTTGAGTTTCACAGGATTCAACCACGAGTTGCAACCTTCATTCGACGATGAAGGGAACCCGATTTCCTTTTCCGAACCTCTGGAAGCAGATGCATAAATTGGGTGTCGTCGAGCAGCCGAGCCTTCCTTCAGGTCGTTTTCGTCGAGATTCCCGTTTTAAACCTTTAAGTGCAGAATGCTCTCCCGCGAAACGGCACCCCGGTATTAAATACTTTTTTTTGGGAGGGGGGGGAAGCAGCTCGCGGGAACGAACGAAACAAAACTACTATTACAGTTTACTGAGTTTCTGTTTAAAATAAAAAATAAAAAAAATTCGACTACCTCCCATTTGCAGGAAATTTCAAGACGTATATACTCGACCGTAGCACTTAAAGGGTCATAATGATTTTTTAAAAACACGATTCCGCCGTTCTTTTTTCATTCTTTGACCACCTACGCATAAATATTGCTAGAGAAGCTTTAAAAAAATATGCTAATGAAGCGTCGAGCCCCATGGAAAGTGGATTTCTCAGGAAAGGGCCTTCGCTTGAGACGCGAGTTCAGCAAAAATCATTCGAAGAGATTCCTGTTACCACAGGGAGAGGTAATTGCATGAAGTGCTCGTTAAAAATAAATCTTTAATGGCGAAAGGAGTTCTGAGAAACGGGGATCGAACAGCCTCCGGCTAGATGATTAAAAGTTCACATGGTCCATGCTTTCATATTCATGAACCGCTCTCTCGCGATCAATATTAGCTTCAGCCGAGCGCCAATTGAGGATCTGAAGCAAACTCTAATCATTCAATCGCAGAGATTTAATGATCTTATGGGAATTTTTGTTCTGACGAGGACATTTCTGCTCGCTGCACAGGGAACAAGTTACTGAGTTCGGGGAAGAGGGTGAACACGTGGCCGAAGAAGACAAGGGAGTACTTCGAGGGCGTGGACTTCTGCCTCGCTTCCTCCTATCAAGAACTCTTTGCCGACTTCTACCTTATGGTTGCCAATGACAGCTTCATTGCGCAAGTGAGTCCCACGCTCGACACAATTTACTCCGAATGTGACACGAAGTGGCATTTCTCGAGTCCTTAAGGGCCGTTTCGGCAGTATGATGCAAAGTTTGCAGCCTTGGAGAACTTGGCAGATGTGATGGGCATGAGAGTCGCACTGAAAGCATATCAGAATTGGCAAAAGTCTCATCCCCTGGAACCAGGGCTTCCCGGCGTTCCCTACTCAAACGAGCAGATACTGTTAATCCGAAATGCCCAGGTAACATTCCCAACATAAGGAATGAAAATTTTTTTGTGAATTTCAGCACCTATGATTTGATAACATTTTTGACAGGCAAACTGTGGCCATTTGGATGGGGCAGGCTATGCATTGGTCCTGGAAGTGGACGAGCACACGCCCCACCCACAAAGGTGAACAAGAACTCATCACTCATCAAGGCCACTGACAGTATTTCTTCGACATCATCTGAAAATTACTGGGATCTCTTCCTTTTCAGGGTCAATGGGCAAATGCGTCTCTTGGAAGAATTTGCAGATGCCTTCAAATGCAGCCCAAGATCTCCCATGAACCCTCACCCAAAATGCCCTCTTCTGTGAAAGCGCATCTCATCAAAACAAATTATGACTTTGCCTGGTCAAATGACAGTGATCCTCTTTTTTTTTATAACAAAATATTGATAAGTGAAAGACAAAGAATAAAGTGCTTTTGTACAAACTTTAAAGAAAAAAGTTTGGATGAAAATGATAAAAAGATCGAAGTACACTTGAGATCACAGGGAATTAAACCAGCTTGACAGCTCCATCCTTGAGCAACTGAGATACAGCTCGATACTGGACTATGTGTTGCGTTCCTGGATCGAAGTCGACCTCGGCGCCTTCGTCTTCGTCCACCAGCACCCGTGGGCACTGCTGCTTCACTTGGGCCAGGACAAACCGGTTGCGATTGGGTGCCGGGTAGACTTTTGTGGGCTGGATCTCCTGAAGATTCAGTGGCATGTGCTGGATCACGAGCGACTGCATGTGTGATGATATGCTCTTTGTGTACTCAGTGGCAAATTTCAACTCTTGTTCTGACAGGCGCTCTCGAAATGTACCCTCAGAGTTCAGTGCTGCTGGTGCAAATTTCTCTATCTTCTCCAGTCGATGCCTGAGGTAACTGCTTACCACATATCTAAGAACCATAACAAAAATATGATTTCATTTCATATAAGGAGGCTGAATACTACCTTGAAATAAAAGAATTATTAATAAAACTGAATACCTGATCCTCTGAAGTTCCATGTGATGGACCGAGTATCGGAGGTCCTTTCGACTTATCCGGTTGAGATTCTCCTCCATCTGGGTGATCTGTTCCAACATGCAATCAACCAATTCCATCTGTGGCTCCAGGAGTTCAGGGCTCCACTTCTCATTCAGCCATGCTTCTTCCAATCTATCCACCACTTCCCTTGCTGTCATCATCTCTTCCTCCTCCTCTTCCTCCCTACCTTGAGATTCTGCTCTTTCATCCTCATTCAAGATGAAATCTAATTCTTGGGTCAGGTCTCCACGGTGTGCCATCTTGCTGTGAAGACTTCGAGAGAGTGGCAGCTTCGCAAACATCCATTCAAATTAAGGGTATGTATAAAAAATCAATAGGAGGAAATGTATAACTGAGCTCCTCAATATGCCTTTTTTTTGAAAGAGCATCCACAAATGCTATAAAGCTGTGGGGAGCAAAGGAAAGAGGAACATTGTATAAAGCAGAACCAGAGTCCATTCAGAAGATGAATATTTTTTATTTGCACACATTGACAAAAACTATCATTTTGTAAAATAACTGAGATCATGTCCACTTCTTGGTTGTATCAATGTATTCTCCATCAGGGGGATCATAGCCAGCAATAGGTGGGGATTCAACAGGCCCTGTTGCCTTGTATGGAAGCAGGTTCTCATCCAGCTTGGAGAGAAAAAAAAAGTGTTAGTCATCAACTCATTGACAAAAATCCTATCGCTTAAACTCTTTTGTGCTGATGTCAGCTGACCAACTACTAACTACATCAGTCATAGTCTACCAAAGAGAACACACTATGGATGCCTATTAAGGTGCCACTGTACCAAGAGTTCAGAAGAGTTGTATAGATATAGTGTGATTTCCATTTTTATGAGATTTCTGATGAATGCAAGCATCATTGTGATCAGTCTGGTAATGATGGCAGACAACAGCCCTGTGTTCAAAATTTGACTGCACAGAACATAATGTAGCTTTTAGAGATTGATCGATATTGGCTGATATTTCAGCATAAACAAAACCATAGTGAAGATTCAACAGGACAGCTTGGTTTTATTTAAAATTCTTCTCAATGAACTCACAATGAAGTTAGGCTCCAAAGCATAAGTCAAACCTAAGTCTTGGAATGAAGGTCTGCCTCTATGCACCAGACAAGGAACATAAGCAGAGTGAAAGACCTGTGATTCCTCACCTCTTGGATGATGCCATATTGGCTATATGACACATCTCAGGGTTTCTATATGGGTGCAGAAAAGATAGTCCTAATCATTCTTTCTTATACTGTATATATAGAACAGAACACTACTTCTGATATCAGCAAAAATCATAAGGCTTGAAAGAGCCAATGTGAATACTTGCTGATATGCCCATATTGGTCAGCTTATATTGACAACCTTATACATCAGTCAATCTCTATAACCTTTCACTCCAAACTTCATTTTGGTAATTTACTCTTAACTTGCATAATTTGGGCAACCTTAACCTGAGCTGATTCAGCAGAGTAAATTATCTCTGGCAAGGAATAATTCCAGACTTTTGTCTGCCATTTCCAGATAAAAGTTACTGCTGTTGATGCATTAATTAGATATGTTTATAGCCAAAATTTATCCAGTGTTTCCATAACCTGATGCTCCATTATCATACTGGAACATACTGATACAATCCTGATAAGAGTAATGTTTGGTCTCATCTCTAACACAGGCTTTCTATGTTGAAATAATATTTTTTTAAATTCAGATTAAATTATGACCATTCTCATGACAAGTACCAGGCAAAACAGGGTTAACCCAACTCTTTTCCTATACCTGGATGGCAGCTTCATAAAGGCGTGGACTCTCCTTTCTGAGCTCTTCCAAAGCCTTCAGCCGTGATGACACTATGGAATCAATGGTGATCAGTTCATCACATGACTCTTTCCATCGATACCGGGTCCATTCACATAGAAGCTGAGCAGCTTCTGCCAATTCGGATTCTGACATTGGAGCATTCCTCTTTCTCATGCTGAGAGAAAGAAAAAAACACATGAAGATCTCTGGTACTGTGGAATTGACTCTCTACGGAATTCAACCAACCTTATTTCCTTGCGCAAGGTAGGGCTGACTTCACATTCATCAACTGGCTTGTATTGTTGTGCCACCTTCTCCAATCGTCTAATCTGTTTTTCAATCTTCCTCTTTCTCCTATCTTCCCTTGCCTTGAGGATGGCAGGGTCTAGACGCTTCTTCTTTTTCAATGGTTCCGCTCTAGAACATGATCTCATATTATTAAATCTATGAAGAATGCAGATCAAACACAATCAGAAAGGTAGGCAAGAGTCCTTACAGTAAAGGAGCTGAGGTGTGCAGAGAGCAACCCATGATACCATACCAGCTGCCATTCATGGTCAGAGCTGACTGCATTGGAAGGTGTCTGGCAGCAGCAGTTGACAAAATTGAGACCAGCTTCTCCAGCATTTTATGTAACTTATTTGCTGACACAAGTACACCATATGAAATAGCACCAATAAATACCTAAGGTAAAAAGAAGCCACTCATCTATTACAGCATGTCATTAACAATAAGCAATCCTCACATGTCATCTTTTGATGTGGTCTCATATTTGAGCAAGGTAGGGTTTTGAAATCATGAACCACAAATTTATTTATTGATTTTCCATAACAGCTACCCAGTCAAAATCAGTTTTCACAGGTATTCAAACTGTTTTGGTGTAAACTTGCATGCCAAGTAATAACTTGAAGGCATTGAAAAGGACTTAACATACTGAAAGGGGTTGGGAAGAAATCTATTGAATACACTATACAGAATGCCTCTGAATTCAGAGAACATAGGGAAATGACAATGTAAAATGATGAATGCATAGACATCAAAGCATTCCTACATCATTCAACTTATTATGGCTTAGAAATGCTGAAATTATGTCACAGAACAAGGGTGCTAGATTTCAGAATCTATAGATCTGATATAACATGGGTAATAGTCAGGATTCAGAAAATGAGTAATGGTCAGAAGTTCATTACATAATTTATAATGGTGTACACAAATGATGAACATGTGGAATTGATATTCCTAGTAGCAAAAAAGTAAACAGCAGCCTATTTCACCATGAGCATCTAGATTACTCAACACCTTCTCTGATAATGATTATGAAATAATTGGAATGTTTCATGGAAACTGGCAGTATTGCTTACAAGCCACATACTGGATGCCCCATTTGTATAGTAGTACATGATGTGAGGGATCCATTTAGCATCTGTCCACTGCATCCTTGAAGTTGACAAATTCCATCCATTAAACTCAGGAATAACAAGAGATAACGGAAGATTACTCAGATAGATAGAGTAAATTTTGCTAAGCGATGATGTGAAAGGTGAACATACAAACAGAAACTATGATTTCGATGTGGAATTACTGGGTCACTGCTTGCCACTCTGAACACCTGACCCGAATGATAAATCACTGGAGTACACCATAAACAAAGAATAATTTTAGCATTTCAATGTCATATGTGGTCAAATGAAGCAACAGTATTTCAATTCCAAATGCATTCATAATTTCACAATGCAATTTCAATATGTACTTGGAATTCTGAGACACCTTGCATGAATGGAATAGTGCATCTAGTCCATCAAAACTCATACAGAAATAAATGCAACAAATTGCTTTCCAAGTCCAAAATAGACTTCAGAGCTGGAAGGCACAATTGAGGGAGTAAAAACTTCCTCTCAATCTTGACAGTAGAAAATGACAATGACGACTTCAGGTACTACTGATGTGATCACAGCAAATGCAATCAATATGCCTAGAATTAAGTCTGTGTGATAAACCCCCCAGCACTAAGTCACTTTCTTTAAACTCAAAGATCCTTTGTAGATAGCCTCAGTATTTGATGAAGGAGCCGCAAGGATATGACCAAATTGACAGAGACCTTGTCTCCTTACATCAAAAAGGGTCTTCACCAATGCCATCTATGGTGGACAGTCCATTTCAGGTAGGCCACAGAGCAGAGTACTCCAAGAGAGGATTGATGATCTGACTGTATGACATGGTTTCCAGTTGCCAAAGAGGAGATTGAAACAAGAAGGAATTATTTGCAATTGAGCCTGACACAGCTGTGATGAGACACTGCAGCAGAAACAAGTCAGCACCAGTAATGAGATTTCCTTCTGAGTTTGGATGAAGACAATTCTGCTATCAATTACCAAGATGTGTCCATAAGCTCATTATGAAATAGTGTTGCAACTGATGAAAGATCTTTTGAATTACTAGCACTTCAAGAAACTAGTGGTGGCAGATTTATCACACAAGACTGCAGAAAAAATAATACTTCTCTATCAGAAGACAATAATTCTATGAAGCTAATCTTCATTCTTCAAGGGGAGTATCACCAGTTTCCTTCTCAGGATGATCTTTCTTTGGCTTCTTCTTCAATGAAAATGTCCGAGATTCCTTATCAAACTCAAGAGGCATGATTCCCAGGTCACCAGAAAATCTGTTCTTGGTCACCTGAATGTACTTCTTGCCTCTGAGTGAAGAGAGTCTCCGGTCTTGCAGTATGAGGACATTATCTGCCTCTTGTGATGCTTTAGCTCCTCCAAATATGGAAGATGTTGTTAATTCATCCATGTCACCCTCTTTCCTTGGATGAATGACCAGTGACACATGGCAATTGTTCTGAGTGGCAAATTTGCGAAATGCTGCAACAGCCAAATCTTGTCTGTAGAAGCGATCAAAGTTTCCTCGCTGATCGTCAGGAGTTCCGAGCATGAACTGGAGATTGTCTACGATGACGTGTGCAATGTCATAAACATACACAGCATGAGTCATCACATCCAGCACACTCTTGATGCTGTTTTGACCATGAAGGCTGATGAAATACATGGTCAAGTCCTCAAACTTATCTGCCCATTCATCAAAACACTCAGGATGCTTCTCCAGTGATAGCTGGGCAAATTGAATGAGCATGATCTTTGCCAAACGGACTGGATGAACCTCAAAGCTGCCCCACAATGTGTTCACACCTTGAAGGCACAGATCAAGGGAGTATTCTGACATGAAGGTGGTCTTTCCAGCACCAGTTGGGCCTGTGAAAACAGTCAATTCCCCTCGTCGATGTCCTTTAAGGAGCCGATTCAAGATGGGGAACCGCTTCCATTTTACCCCCGATACCTGCTCAACCAATGCTAGTTCTGACTTCACATGCTCCCGTAGGCTGGGGAAAGAAGCAATGGACTTGTGAGCCACTGGCCATGCCTCATAAAGAATTTTTGGAATGTTCACCTTTTTATGCATGGCTTGAAAAGGACCCCATTTCCACGTCGCTGGGTTCACATAATAGCACCGAGATTCATTCAGTTTGCGTGCAAATGCCCTCACAGCCTCCCAAGAATGAATGTCATCCTGGAACCAGAGGATTATTTTGTTGAAATGCTCCAGAGCAGGAAGCACCTCCTGAGGTAGTTTCTTGGTTCCCTGAGGAAGGCAGACAGCTGGGATGTCTGCCATTTGATGGATGGCAATCATGTCCAGGAGGGAGAGGGTCAAAACAACTGTGTCATGGGAGAGTGCATTCTCCAACCCTATCAGGGTGAGGCTGTCCTTGGGTATTGATTGTTCTGTAACTCCCCCATCAACTGAAGAAATAACCCTCACCTTTGTAGGAGATTTCATGCTATGTGGAGACATTGATGGAAAGATCAGCTTCTTGTTTTGCATGTCATATCGTACATTTAGGCGTTCCAGTACTTCTCGAGTCTGATGATTCAGTTTGAAGGTCCTCATCAGCTCAGAAAAACCTTCAGAAGTCAGATCTTTGATAGGTTGAGAATTCTCAAATAATGCCTGAATTTCTTCAGGTACAGGTTCTGTCTTCTCTGCATGCTTCACCCACTCTCTCTGCTTTGCTTTTGGCTTGGGTAGTGCAATTAAGTTACAAAAATCATTCCAAGACCCATTGAGTTGGCACGAGGGGCACATCCACATACCAGTGAGATTGTTGATATACAGTGGGAATGTTTCCCCAGATTTCTTCTTCCCTTTACCCAAATTGCAGACAGGGCAGTCCACAATGAGGCAGGTGAAGCCTTCCTTATATGGCAACATGCTCTGTGATAAGAATTCCTTTATAGATGAAAGCCCAACAGCCTTTGTCAATGGTAAGGAGCCACTCTTATGCTCATGAGAGTGCACAGAAGTAATATGATAATTCCTCTTCAAAACATTGTCATGGTACAAGCCAGCATATCTACTGAACAGGAAGACACTGGAAGTTGGTCCATGTTTTTGTTTTAGAGATACAAAAACTTTGCAACGAGAGACTAGATGACATGACCTGGTCCTGGTCCTGGTCCTGAGGAAGTCACCAGACATGAGGCACTTCAACTTCATAGCCATATCAGGAATTACAAGTGACTATCCTTCTCCAATTCATCCCTTGAAATGAATCCCTGCTCTCACTAAATAGGCACAGAGGGATGGGGGCTATAATAAAGAAACTGAACTTTTCATGTAGACTTACACAAGGATCTGATGAGAAAGATACAAATGTACACAAGGCACTCATCTAACTCCTAGTGATCTCTAATATTCCTGTAATACCCACAATCCATTAGGAGAAACAATTCTGAATGGTGTGGTTTCTCTAAGGGAAGGTTACACAGGTTCAACATTCAGTCTTTACCGCTAAGGATGTACTTTAGTGATTAAGTGGATGCTACTTAATAGTAATATCATACATCTAGAGAAAGAGTGTAATAAGCTCAGAATCCCTTTCCAAGCACAAGGGGTTCCCCTTGAAAATAAACAAGTAATTTAATTACTTTAAATCTATGTCCCTGACCACAGAAAAATTTGCCAATTGGCACTCAGGTGTCTCATAAATGTGAGAGGAAGCACATGAGAACTTGGAAAGCATGTTATTTGGATCAGGCCTTGTAAAGCTGATATATATTTCCCATGCAGAAACCTTTTTAAATTACAAAATATTTTGACTTTGATGAATTTTTAAATATTTTTTCCATACCATTTTTTTTCCATTCATCTGAAATTTACTTGAAAGAGCCTCATTGACAGACAAAATTATAAATTTATTTTCTCATCTGTCAGCCAGAAAGTAACATTTTAAACTTATGGTAAAACAAATGAGAAACAATCTAGTGAGTCAGCAGTGGGCAAATTTTTAGTGCATGAAAGGTTAGTAAGGTTTTTCCTGGATGCTTTGGCAGTAGAACTAATAAATCAGAAAAAGAAAATAGTCAACTACTGTTCTTGGGAGGAAGCATGGCTATAATGATAGTTCTGACAGGAATATGATGGTGTCCAGTCCCTAAGTTCTGTATCAGCATTGTGCAATTCACAATATTGAGGCTACAGTTATCATGCATTACTTTGTACAACAGACATTATCACCTGTGTTTCTTTGGAGAGTTTTCCCGCAAAAGATTACATCAATGAACTTAAAACAGTATTCCAAAAGTAGTTTTTGGTGAATCTAGAGCCATGCCTTTGGTCCTTTTAAACAGAGGAACTCATCTCCAGCCTCAGAGGAGCCCTAGACCTTATAAGCAAACATTATCATGGAGCATACAAGTAAAATATGCTACAGCCCTTTTTCCCAGAGATAGCCAGAGAAAGGGCAGGTCCAGAACTCAACTCTGGATGTTAACATACTGATGTGCATATCTAGATTTCTATGACAGTGATGCCTATGTACATGATAAGAATACAATGAGACAATGGGTACAATGCAAATAATGTAAGATTCATGAAATAGGTACTTATATCTATAGATACTCAAAGAAACAGACATGCAGTTAACTAGCCTGCTGCTTTCAGGTAGGGCAGCTTACAGCCTTAAAAATGGGTCTAAGTTGGGTGAACTAGGCCTAAGGACCATGGCTAATTTTACTAACTTAGACTTAGGTTTGCACCCTGTTTAATAACATCTAATCATTACCTGAGCACGCTAATCAAAGAGGCAATCCTGGAATAGGCTTGGGCATATCCTTAACTAGGTTAATGCCACGCCTAAATATTGCTTTTCAATCTTAGCAGAAATGATTGCATTGTCTGCTGTAGTCAAGGCTAACGTTAGCTGCTGCTTTGTAAACTTCTGCCTTTCCAGCAGAGTGGCATTGATGAGGGTTATTGAACTACTCCCTTCCCCGGGAATAGGCCCGAACCTAGTAGCAACTCTTCAGCCGAACCAATCGCAACCTTCACGAGGTTGGACGGATCCGCCAATACACTGGACTTGACTGGCCGCGTGCCTCCCGGCCTGTCTTCATGCTCGAGCGACGGCTCCATCTAGCGTGAGCGGGTTCAACCAAAATTTTCTTTGCAACGCGTTTGGGTAGATGTCCCTCCAGTCGATCCTGTCACCACTCGGAGACCCATACCCAGCAAACAAGGCTACGTTGGACCAACGTTGCATCAACGTTCCGAACGTTCATTCAATGTTGATTCAACGTTGATTCAATGCTATGTGTTTCAAATTGTTTGCTGGGCATTTTGCACATTGCAGACGCGTGAGTCCATCAACGACCTGCCAATTCCTCTTTTCTCCGTCATGCACGCTTTTGATTTTTCACCCCACCGAGCATCATGTTTCCACCATTTCAGAATTTCATTCTCAAAGACCCAACCCAGCAAACGATTTGAAACACATAACGTTGAATAAACATTGAATAAACGTTCGGAACGTTGATACAACGTTGGTCCAACTTACCCTTGTTTGCTTGGCAAGAGTCGTCGTGAGGAGTTCGAATCGGATTTTGCTCCATTGTATTGTGCTTTAGCAAATTTGGAATGGAAGTGTTCGCTAATATCCTGACGTCTGCTGCCATTTTGATCGTTGGTCCCTCGGGATCTGTTCATCCTGTCAGAAGTCCTAAACCCTTCCCGGAAAGCAAAATTTTCTCGGTTAACCAGGCGAGAGAAGTAGAAAGACGCTCGCATAGGCTAAGCCAACTCTCACGTCCATCCTGCAACGTACATTGGAGAACGACGCAAACTTCGGGGCGAAATCACCATGACCGAGATTCGGTTCCAATCTCGGGCGACATCATGCACCGACAGCATGCGGCACCATCCGCGAATAATCTTTGCCCGGCTATCAAGATTCATACATACATAAATCAAATGTAAAAAATAAAAAATAAAAATCAGCCGATTCTCCATTTGACTTTGGCTCGCTCTGATCCGACGACCCTCGGTTAACATTCTGTGACGATATCTCGTCTGTCTTGGCAAGTAGCACTAAAAATAAGATGGACTTGAGAAGTTACAGGCAAACTGCCTTAACGTCACGAGTGGGATCTATTCCCTCGGGAAGGTTCGTAGTGGTCGATACGGAACCAATTTACCAGGGGCAAGGATTCCTATGCAGACCAGGTCTCACACAGATTCCATTTATTCTTCCCACACTTCTACATATATCAAGCATATAATGATTCTCACAGGATTCAGATAGTAAAGAAATTAGACACAAAGTCTCTCAGCACAACCTTTTGAGTGCAACCCTTCCTCTCAAAGCATTAAGGCTAATTCTGAAAAAAAGGAACAAATGTCTCTTCACCCTCGATGCAGCACTATGCGCAGTTGCCTCGTGATTGGGCAATCGCGGCTAAGCAACGAAATCGGACGCCCTCTTCCATTGTTCGACCTTCTGGATCACACCAGATCCACCTAAGCCCAGCTCCAACCAGCACTTAGGCCCTCGGCTCCAACCGAGTAGAACCAGCAAGGTCTCAATTTAAGAAATGGGACCCTAACCTGATGGCAGTGGCGAAGTCAGGAACACTGTCTCTCCCTCTCCTCTCTTAGAGGTTTTTGAACTTAGTTTAAACCCTCCTTTGGTTTTCGTGACAGTCTTTATAGCATGCTGAATGCTACATGGCTGGATGGATGATCACCAATCATTTTCAGATGCTGAGCGGCTCGATGACTAGATAGATGATTGCAAAAATACCGACAGTCCCGTAGGAAAACATAGGAAAGTCGGACCTTTCATTCCGCTAGACACATATCATTGGAGTCCCTTAGATCAGAAGGAGACACTTCCTTCCCCTCGTGACCTTTACCTTTCCCCTGAATGACAGATCGGGGCCAGTAGGAAAAGCGTGAGGGAGGGGAAGACGAATAGCAGTAATTTCCTATATTCCTGGGAAATCCTCGAACGTCCGGCAAATGGAGGATACCCTGTCCCTGGGTCACTACAATTCCATGCCAGCCGACCTAACCGTGATCTAAGGCAGTGGTTCTCGACATTTTCTTTTTTTTTTTTTTTTTTTTTTTTTTTTTTTTTTTTNCTGCGGTTTGCGCAACTTAAGTCGGTTACCTCTCGTTCTCTTGCTTTCATCAAACTGGAAAAACCTACCACACTCGACATGATCTATTCCTTTAATTATCTTGAAAGCCTGGATGAGATCGCCCCTCCTTAACCTTCGTTAAGGAAGCCAACCAGCCAACCAGCTACTGATCCATTCGCTCGTCCTAGCCTGGATCCTGTGCGCCTCCAGTTTGAAATTAGATTAGGAAATTAGACACAGTCTCTCGGCACAACCTTATGAGTGCAACCCTTCCTCTCAAAGCATTAAGGCTAATTCTGAAAAAAAAAGGAACAAATATCTCCTCACCCTCGATGCAGCATCATGCGCAGTTGCCTCGAGATTGGGGGCAATCGCGGCTAAGCAACGAAATCGGACGCCCTCTTCCATTGTTCGACCTTGCTAGTTCTAATTGTCCCTCCCAGCTCCAACCGGCAAGGAACAGAATCTGGATCACACCAGATCCACCTAAGTCCAGCTCCAACCAGCACTTAGGCCCTCGGCTCCAACCGAGTAGAACCAGCAAGGTCTCAATTTAAGAAATGGGACCCTAACCTGATGGCAGTGGCGAAGTCAGGAACACTGTCTCTCCCTCGCCTCTCTTAGAGGTTTTTGAACTGAGTTTAAATAGGGTTCCCTCCTTTGGTTTTCGTCACAGTCACTATAGCATGCTGAATGCTACATGGCTGGATGGATGATCACCAATTATTTTCAGATGCTGAGCGGCTCGATAACTTGTTAGATGATTGCGAAAATACCGACAGTCCCGTAGGAAAACAGAGGAAAGTTGGACCTTCCATTCCGCTAGACACATATCATTGGAGTCCCTTAGATCAGAAGGAGACACTTCCTTCCCCTCGTGACCTTTACCTTTCCCCTGAATGACAGATCGGGGTCAGTAGGAAAAGCGTGAGGGAGGGGAAGACGAATAGCAGTAATTTCCTATATTCCTGGAAAATCCTCGAACGTCCGGCAAATGGAGGATACCCTGTCCCTGGGTCACTACAATTCCATGCCAGCCGACCTAACCGTGATCTAAGGCAGTGGTTCTCGACATGTTTTTTTTTTTTTTAGCAGAGGCGCACTTTCAATTTATTTCCTTGGCAGTGATTTATTTGATTGATTGACCCCCTTCGATATATCTTGGGGTGCAGAGGAAATTTCCGCGGCACTGGCTGAAAAAGGCATCCAGGTCACCGATGTAATTACCATCGATTACCCTCGGTCCCCAGCCGCGTCACTGGGATGACATCCTAAGGGGGGGGCATTTGGGGTGACATCCTCTGAGGGATGACATCTTCAAGGGTGACGTTTAAGCGTTTCGCTTGATCGGGTCGAAATTCATCCTGATTTTATTTTCAATCGGTATGGTTAGGATTTGATTTTGGATTCGCTTGGGAAATTACGTGATTCGAGGCCTCAAGCCATATCAATTTGCAAAAAGTTATGGAATTTGAACGCGAGAATTTGAAAAAATAAAATAATATAAAATAATAGGCAATTAGACGAGACACTCGCGGAACACCTGACAACGTTTCTTTGCTCTCTGACATGCTCAAAGAGAGCGTCTGTCACAGTCGACAAGCCTCAAATGACTGTTTGACCGGGTCTAAATTATTCACGGCCTCACTCCTCCGCGGCGATGAGAATCCTTCAGTGCTCGGGGTGAGAATCCTTCAGTGCTCGAGGAGTCCTCGCATCGAAGGCGGCATGGAGCTCCCGAAGGTCAATTGGACTCGGATGTTGCCATTTGGTCGTTTGAATTCTGGGATTGAATTTTTCTTTTTGCTTCTGGGTCTGCGTAGGAGAAAACGGAACACGATGGCGAGCAAGGCATGGGAGCAGGCCAGAATGGCACGGGAAAGAGGGAAATTCGACAGAGCCGACTCCTCCGGTTCTGCATACTTTTCCTCGTCGTTCTCCTCACCGTCTCCATGGTAGGATGTCCCCACCGAATCCGAAGAAATTAAAAGAACCGATCTGATCCGGGAATCCCTCCACCTTTGCAGATGCTGAGCTTCATAAAGCGGTACCGCGACACCCCGACCAATACCTCCATCGAGATCGAGGAGGTGGAGACCCTCCGTGCACCCTTGGTCACCATCTGCCAGTCCCCGTCCTTCCGAAAGCCCCAAGACGGCACCCACGACAACGACACCTTCTCCAAGCTGGTCCGGGATTTCGCTTTCCCCCTCAAAGACGTCGTGGGGTCTTTCTCCATCAACAAGGCTCCGATGAAGGAAGGCCTGAAAGACAAACCGGACCAGGAGATCATCGAAACCCAAGGTTTTTTCCCTGTGTATACGATACTAACAGTAACCGGTGAAAAATTCGCGGTTTCCCAATCGAACCTAATTAAAGCCTACACTACCTTTTCGAATATTTCAATACCTTTTTGGCTCACCCACGAGCAGGGTCATCACTTCACATCCAGAAATTGAGTTTCTCCCTTGTTCCGCCGTGCACAATATCGACATTACTGCAGGATAGTCCAGAAGTATTGTTGGAACTCGTCCAAATAACCACGCTCCATTACATTACATTGCGTTATGCCCCATTACAATCCCATCTTGTTATCAACCGATGCTCCAGACAGTAGGCAGATGTACCGTGCTGCCTGGTGGTCACATGGCCCCCAGTTACCGAGACCCCCAAAGACGTTACGCTATTTGTCATCATTTGCTGCGTGGGCCTTCACATTTGGCGATATGATGGACGTCAATCGTAATGGAAGGAGGAGACAAGCTTTGAGTTTCGAGGATGCCCCCCGTTATCAGAGTCCCTCAACGCTGTAGTACGTGAGTGGGCATTTAAGGTATTATCAGGTACATAATCCAAACTGCAGGGCTAATGCTTTCCCACTATTGAGATTTCTTCCACAGGGAATTTGTCAAATAAACCTATTCTTTCATCTTCACGTCAGTCTACCTTTACGATGGAGATATTAAAGAAAGATCGTATCATTTATTTTACTCTCTTGATGACTCGATGCAAATTTCTAGCTCGGCTTGGCGCAATTCTGCGGTGCTAATCCAGAGACACTCGTGTTACAATGGGACTTTCTCCCTCGAGCTAGGTCACACAAAACTGTTCGGAAAGGAATTCGAAGCAAAGCGTATGGGATACCAAAACTGGCAATTTACGAATTCGGCTAGTAACCTTGTCTTCGCTGCCACGGACAGCCGCTGTCTTCCTCTGTCTACGATAGATCTTGCAGCTGCAAGGGCTGGAGAGGGATTGCTAACATCATTCGGTGATTCAAACGCCGACCTAGGCTGAAGGCTGCACACGTGCATTGCTTCAAGTTCTCCGGTTGCTATGAGAATGGTGGATGCACAGAATTGAAAAAGACGAATCGAACGCAATATCTGCCATTTCCCCATAAGTCACTATGGGAATAACAGATGAAAAAAGTGGAATATGATCATCTGCAGGAGGAACGTGGAGCACCAGATACATCCTCGACGAGTCGGAAGCGCTGGGCCTCCAGAGATGTTTCACCTTCAACGCCAGCATTCTCTTCGGAGTGATGGATCGCTCGTCGGGCCTCTTCCTCAGGCTCGACATGGACAACGCGACGGAAAGAGACGCTGGGTTTGACGCCGGCTGGGACGTCCTCATCCACCAGGACCTCGATTATCCATCGCTAATTGACGGGTTCTATACAAAGACGATGGTGAAGCCTCGAACCACGCAGGACATTCAACTGATGGTCAGGATCATTCAGAACATCCCTACTCCCAAAAACCCGTGCATCCAAGATCTCCAGTACAGCAAGGAAAAGGTGATGCGATGGAAAATCGTCCGAACGTTACGTAGTCCTAGAGTTTACTCAGGCTTTCTCAATCTCACCTTTAAGGAAATGTATCTGAACCATGGAAATATAACGTCATCTCTTATAATAGGTGCTTCAGTTAGAAACGAAATATTGAAATACTTCTGTTGATAACATTTTTTTATTTGTCTGTCTCCCCCCCTCCCCCCCTCTCTCTCTCTCTCTCTCTCTCTGTTAAGTGCTTGGACGAGTGCATTCTGAGAGCCATGAATGAGAGTTCATGTCGTCTCCCCTGGATGATCGAGTCAGATTTCCCTCTGTGTGAAACCAAGAAAGAGATGATGGCGACAATCAAGACATACGAGAAATATGCCAGGAATGGCAAGTACAAGAGGTTGAATTGTCCCTGTCGGCAACCCTGTCTCCAGATGGAATACCGGGTTCAGATCGTGCCGCCACTCCAGCAGGTCAACACCACCTGGGTCTTCATCTACGCTCCTTCGAAGAACGTGGAGCTTTTGACGGAGAAGGAGGTTTACGACATCTCGCAGATGGTCGGGGAGATGGGCGGATGCGTGGGGATGTTCCTTGGAGTCTCCCTCATCTCCCTCTACGAGTTGCTCGATAGCTACATTCGGCTGTGGACGTCGCGGAGGGCCCCACTGTCTTAGGATGGCGCTGTGGACGGTGGAAACAAAAAGGAGGATGGGCTTGGCAGGGACACAACCGGGGGAAAAATTATATTTGCACAGAATTCTTTATTGTAACCCTGAATCGCCGTGCGAGTCATTCCACGGCGTCACTGTCGTTGTGTACTGATGCAATGATATCACGAATCTTTTGCTCACAATTGGTATACTGCATTCTCAGAAGCACACTACTTCAAAGCCATGTGACCGCATTCACTTTCATGCACCATTTCGCCTCTTGAAGAAACACTGCATGTTCATTCACAGAGCCATCGCAGAATTAGATGTTGTGAAACAGTGCCCCAAAGCACGCGTACACAGGTAAACCATCATAGCGATTAGTTCCCAGCCAGAAAAATGAAGTCCATTAGTACTTCGAGCCGTATGCATTCCCGTCGAATTCCTTCCGCAACATCCTCAAGTTCAGGCACAAGTGCAACGACGCGATGGTCTTCTTCCCGTGTGATAACTAGTGGCTTTCTTTGAAAAACATGTTTTAGAAGATTTAACTTGAGAAGTAGAATCGACGGAGACGGTGTAACAAATATATTTTCGCAAAATTAAAAAAAATTTCTCTAATTTCTCAATTTCAGATACCAAAAATAATTTGTCATGAAAAATTTTGTCGCTGTGTCATACTGAAAGCTTTTCACTTTGTAGCAGTTTCTGCTGTTCGCTTATTAAGATGAGATTCATCGTCTGATTTTGAATTCTTGGTCCTTTTCCTTCTTGACCCATTAAAGTTTTATCAAGTTTCAAGTCACACTGGACAATATAAAGCATCGATTTTCTTGATTAATGAAAATATTTTGCCACACTTCACATCTCATATTAGTCCTGAGTGAAACAAAAAAACAAACAAAATTTGCTGTTTTCTGATGGCACGTAAAAAAAGAACGCCGAGATTTCTGCACTCATTTCTCAAATTCCAGATGAAGCAAACGCATATAATTCTTACCACGAATACATCTATATTTCCACTCGACTCTCTAATACTTGTAAACTTATAGGTACTAGAGTACACCCACAGCAGATGTTCGACAAAGACGCCTCGGATATTTTCATATCACGCAGAAGCACGGTTAGACGCAAAGTCGACAGCAGACAGCATTCAGCAGGCTTGGAATGAGATCATCGCGCAAGTCCATCGCTTGATGGAAAGCGAGATCGCAAGATCTCGCTTTCCACCCGAGGGACTCCCCTCCCCCTCCTCCCCTCCCACTGCCTGCTTAAAACCGAGCTTAAAACCAGTCTGCTTAAAAAATAAAAAAAAATCGAACGGGTCTTTTTCTCCAGCCACTAGCACCTGCTAGCGAAAAAGACGATGGCTAGGCACGACCACGTCATTGAATGAAGTCACTATTGGGCAAGCAGCTGCCAGCGGATCATAGCGATCTACGAGAATGCTGAGCAACTAAGCCTTAAATTGAGATGCTGGAGGTCTCAGTAGAGCTAGCAGAGCCACTAGCAACTAAGACACGCCATCAAAGCAAAACGAGGAAACACATTCGCGATGTCTCCCGGTATGTCTCATGCCTCATGCACACGAGCGTTCTCATCGAGACGTGAACGAGGCAGGGAATCACCCTCACGAATGAAGCATTCCACCTTTCGGTCTCATGCGGCCTGGATATTTCTTTCACCTCGGAGGTCCTCATGCGGCCTCGCAGCGTCTCTTTGAAGTCTGGGACGGTGAAATCCAGACACAACAGCAGGCAGTCGTTCCATCATGGATTCCATCCATTCTTTGGGCTTGCGGGAAAATAAAGAGGTATGCAGAATGTCCTCCGAAGAACAAATTCGCTTCGTCGTGCCACGAAAAATGTGATTTTGAAACATTCTCTACGCCCAAGAAATTCCGATGCGTTCAAAGGTCACCATGGTAAATTTCCATAGCGATATCCAATGAACCCTGAAATTTTCGCACAAGCAAAATGAGCTTGGATTCTCGACAGTTGCCAACAGTCCGGGAATATGGAATTATTAGCCTCGTTTCTCGTACAGACAAGGGATAGACGGCGCGAAAAAAGTGTGTCGTTCCCTGGAGTTGTTCTTAATGAAGGAAGCCTGTCACGTTGGGTGTTTAGGACGTCCCAGAATCCATTAGCTCCTTCTGGACAGGTGCAATCAAGCCCATCACCAGCGCGTTGTTTGCGACAGGGGACGACGCTGGATCGATGCATCGCCGAATGACAGCGTAACGCACAACTGAATTATCGGAGCTCTTCACTTCCTCCCGGGACTTTTGAAGCCCGCAGAGCGGTACTTGCACGCTCAGGGATCGCTCGCTTCGAAGACTGCCTCGCGTGTAAGGCTCCAAAGGCGAGTTTGCGTTTCTGCACGACAGATGTGTCCATTGGGTATTCGTATGTTTTGGCAGCTTAAGTTGTAACTAATATCGTTTCCATCCGCAGGTGACAAAAAGTAAAGGCAAAATTACGTAACAGGACATGGGGGCAGTCAAAGGAACGGTGGAAATCCATCGGAGTCAACTACTTCGATTCTGCATTCATTCGCTTTCTATTCTTCTCACCGTCTCCTTGGTCAGCGGATCCAGATGAACTTCATGAAAGGTTATTAGCTCTCATTTCATGAGTAGGAATCCTTTGCAGATGCTGAGCTACATAAAGCGGTACCGCGACACCCCGACCATCATATCGGTCGAGATCGAAGAAGTGGAGACCCTCCGTGCACCCTTGGTCACCATCTGCCAGTCCCCGTCCTTCCGAAAGCCCCAAGACGGCACCCACGACAACGACACCTTCTCCAAGCTGGTTCGGGATTTCGCTTTCCCCCTCAAAGACGTCGTGGCGTCTTTCTCCATCAACAAGGCTCCGATGAAGGAAGGCCTGAAAGACAAACCAGATCTGGAGATCATCGAAACCCAAGGTTTCTTCCGTATTTTTATTATTATAATAAAACAAAGTCCTCGTATTCGTCGCCGACAGACTGCGAGGTTTTTCATCTCTAAATGTGGAAGTTTATTGCGAATGAATTTTTGCCCGAAACCAATTCTTCCGCCTTCATAGTGGAGATTCTAAAGAATCGAGGAAACATTTTACTTTCTTTACCCTTTAAGACGATCAAATATGTATAAATATGTAGCATGATTAAGAAAAAAAAACCTATTATAATCTACAGGAGGAACGTGGAGCACCAGATACATCCTCGACGAGTCGGAAGCGCTGGGCCTCCAGAGATGTTTCACCCTCAACGCCAGCATTCTCTTCGGAGTGATGGATCGCTCGTCGGGCCTCTTCCTCAGGCTCGACATGGACAACGCGGCGGAAAGAGACGCTGGGTTTGACGCCGGCTGGGACGTCCTCATCCACGAGGACCTCGATTATCCATCGCTGATTGACGGGTTCTATACGAAAACCAGAGTGAAGCCTCGAACCACTCAAGACATCCAACTGACGGCCAGGCAAGTTCGGAACATCGTTACCCCGAAAAATCGATGCATCCGACATCTCCAGTACAGCAAAGAAAAGGTGATTGAGTGAAAAAAAAAACGAATATTGGGTATGTCAACATTATAAGGAAACTTTTTGAATTTCCTTTTATATGAAAATGAATGTGAACTATGAAATTTCGACTTCTATGCCAAGCAATGATTGCTTCAATCAGAATCGTAGGATTGAAATACTTTTGTTGATACAAAATTTGATTTGTCCTTCTCCCTTCCTCTCTCTCCCTCTCTAAGTGCTTGGACGAGTGCATTCTGAGAGCCATGAAGGAGAGTTCGTCATGTCGTCTCCCCTGGATGACCAAGTCAGATTTCCCTCCTTGTGAAACCAAGATGGAGATGATGGCGACAGTCAAGGCATACGAGAAACTTGCCAGGAATGGCAAGTACAAGAGGTTGAATTGTTCCTGCCCGATGCCTTGCTCCCAAGTGGAATATCGGGTTCAGATCGTGCCACCGCTCCAGCATGCCAACACCACCTGGGTCTTCATCTACCTTCCTTCGAGGAAGATCGAAATCCTGAGGGAGAAAGAGGCTTACGACATCTCGCAGATGGTCGGGGAGGTGGGCGGATGTGTGGGGATGTTCCTCGGAGTCTCCCTCATCTCCGTCTACGAACTCCTCGATCATTACATTCGGCTGTGGATGTCGCGGAGGGCCCCGCCGTCGTAGGATGGGGAATCTGAGAGATGGGAAAAAAAATTTCTCGAAACGCAACCGCAGTGAAAACTACCTTTGCATCTCATTGTCACAATGTAATCTCAGTGGCGATGCGAATGATTTATTCGCCATTTTGTCGCTTTTCCGTGATTGACAAATTTCCGCGTTCCCATCAACTTCTTTGTCGGAATGCCTTTGCCAAAGGGCCACGAAGAAACGCACCGAAAGGAGAAAGCAAACTAAAAATGAGATAATCATTGTTCAGTGTCCGGCCAAATTGATACCCTTAAAGGAAATTTGTGGAAAGCCTTGTAATTAAAAGTACCTCGCACCACTATGAACTGCATTTTTCTTGATCTCCCTTGCACACGCCTCGAAGCAATATCTATCCTTCTCTGACGATCCTCCTCGCTTACATGGCAACGTCACGGAGATGGCATCCATCCTACGAGTCACGTGTCACTTTTCTGATGTGTTCTCCAGTTTGCGTTCTCGAGCGAATCCAAGCCGTTCGTGTTCCCGAAAATGAGCACCGGCTTCGCACATAACTTTTCGATGTTTGGTAGGTTGATGTCAGTTTTTCGCGCTTCAAGATATCATAATCCTTGATGGTGCTTGCAGATAGGGAAAATTAATAATTAAATTAAATTAACGTTAATAAAACTCAATAATAATCTTTCGGTAATCATTATTTCCCAATCTGTGTCATAATCGTGCCCGATTGCACAGATCGCCTTCAAGTTTCTGACGTGTCTGGAGCCGAATCCCTCTCCCCTCTTCATTTTGTATTGTCTGAAGTCTCCCTTGGCTGGATTTCATCTCTGGATGAAAGCCAGTCCAGGATGAAAGCCAGCCCAGATATCGAGGGTTCCTATGCATTCTCCTTCACTGCAGGAATAAAAAAAAAATCGTATACCGTTTGCAAGAAATCTCAGTGGCGTGGTTTAGTTTCTTTGCGGGTGACTCACCAGGTTGGTAACTGATGTGCCAACTTATATCGTAAATGGAGACTTTTAGATTAATGGCCAGTCGTCCTGCTTCATATGGGAAAGGCCAATCCAATGGGAGATGATGAGGAATGAGGAGATGACGAGATTACGAGATTTCATCTGGGGTTGACGGTCAAGATAATTCAGAAACTTGTTTCCTCCAAAAATTCATGCATCGAATATCTCAAGCACAGCAGAGAAAAGGTGATTGCAGAGAAAATTGGAGCACCAAGAGCTTCGACACTCGAGAATTGCTAGAGTCCCAAAATCGAATCATTTGCATTTATTATATAACCACCGGCCTCAAGAGCACAAAAGAATTCCCAGTCTTTTTGGAACAGAAAATGGTCCTTTTTTTTTTTTTAGCACGGAGGCGTTTCGGAATAACGAAGCCTGCCATTACGCGATCGGAAGGACTGAAGAGGTCATTACACCATATTAGCCCATTTGCAATTCAGCGCCGCGTCGCGTCCATTGAATGCATCTCCTCCGACAGCATGACACACGCTTCAATTATTCCAACGCCTCCCTTCGGATTCTAAACGAGGTGTACGAGGGTGCTCGAGTGAGCCGGAAAACCTGGCAAGGAAAACCTGAAGGTCGTAAGTTTTCGCACGGAAAAGTCAGTGGAGTTCTGGAAGTGAAGGGAACTTATTTTCTTCATGCAGGCGGGTAAAATGAAAGATTCTGGGGTGGTGCATGAGGCGGAAACGGTTCTGTACCCGAAAGTGATTCGCCCGAGTCACGTCCTTCGGATCACCATCTATTTCCTCGCGATCCTCCTCACAGTCTCCCAGGTAAGTTCCAATCGCATCTTCATCTGCATTCAAATAAGGATAATCGGTCATTTCTGCTCCGTTTCAGATCACGAGCTACCTGAAACGCTACCGCGACACTCCGACAAACACATCCCACCGGATCGAGGAAGTGGACATCCTCCCTGCACCCGCAGTCACCGTCTGCCAGGTCCCATCCTTTCGAATGCCTCCTTTCGACGCTCACGATAACGACTCCTGGTCTCGGCTGGTTCGCGAATACGCTTTCCCCCTCAAAGACATGGTGACGGGGTGCACCGTCGACCAGACGCAGTGCAAGAGCAAAGCCGGAAACTGTTCGGAAGGAGAAATTTTTGAAGCTAAAGGTCGGTGCCGTGTTGCTGTCATAGTCTTGCTATTCAAATTCGGGCTGTAAGTGGAATGGAACTCGTGCCTTAATATTGTAACAGAGGATTCTTCCGAAGTTGTAAGAAATCTATTTTTTTTTTAATGATCAATTCCCACCAGAACTCCCACTCAAGGAAGAACAGCAATGGCTGACAATGGTCTTTTCAAGGAGCAATATCTTTGCCCATTTTCCCTTCGATACAGTAAGTTTTTAATGAGCAGAAAATAATTTTAAAATATTAATCGCCTTTGGCAATCCTTTAGAATGAAATTTCGAGGCATGATGTATCTCTTCCCTCTCCTTCCCCTCAGAAGAATGTTCCATCCACAACAGTTTGCAATAAAGGCTTAAAATAAATTCCACTCTTTTGGGGAAAAAAAAAAGCTAACTACGAGAAAAGATCACAATTCCGAGATCCGTCTCTGTAACTCAGTTGAACTAGAGGCATATTGTACCTCATGGAATTTTTTTTAAAATTTCATGTCCCCACCGCGTTCAAGAGCGAATCATCCCGATGTGTTTTGAGCCGAATTTTCGCCTTTGGCAAAATCGAGACTGACTTGGACGAATGGTTGCTCTTTTGGATCTATCCAGACGCCAGCAGGAATCACACAACGAACAGGAATTCGAGGCATCTCACGCCCACGATCGGGAGCACGAAGAAGAATCACGAAAGTCGATCACGTCGAAAGTCGCAATGCCGCCTGACCGTCACAACTTATGCGAGGGTCGTTCAATAAGTGAAGACACAAACGTGAAAAGAGCCACACTAAGTGGACCTAGAAAAATAATACTTTATGGCATTTTTCTTTATAAATTTGGCAACACTGCTACCCATGAGCAAGCATCTGTGTTCAGTTTTGTGTTGTGGTTAGTAGGTAACATGGCTGCCCCTCTGCACATTGGAAGAATTGGAAGAAATAAATTTACAGAATGAGTGTCCAATACGGGACAAGCCACACGAACCAAAGGGACGTCTACAAATGGATCGACCGTTTAAGCGCGTCACTGGAAACTTCGACCGGCCGCCCTGAGCGGTGAACAGCCGATAACTCATTTCCGCCTTCGTTAAACCTTTCGATCCATTGTAGACGTCCCTTCGGTTAGTACAGCTTGTCATTAAGCACTCATTCTGCAAATTTCCATGTCACTAACACTCTCAGCGCTGAAAAATATGACGACAGCACGCTGAGGAGAGGAGCAGCCATGTTACTTACTAACCACAACACACTTAAAACTGAACACAGATGCTTGCTCATGGGTAGCAGTGTTGCCAAATGTACAAAGTAAAGTGCCCACGAGTATGGTTTTCCTAGGTCCACGTAGCGTGGCTTTTTTCACGTTTGTGTCTTTACTTGTTGAACGACCCTTGTATAAAACTAAGCACCGGTCTGACTTCGTGCTGAACTCCATTCGTGCTAAGGAAGCGCTAGGAAAGCCTAGGAATACCGGGTGCTACTCTGTCCTCGGCGAATTTCCCACTGGCGTCAGGAAGAGCAGCCGACGCACACGCTCGACGTGTGTCGAACTATTTGACGCATGAGCCGTCGCTGCATTCGGTTGGTTGCGGCTGCTCGTTAGAGATGCCAGCCTGTTACTTGAGAGCTGATATCAGGGAAGAAAGGTAGATGGAAGGGGAGCGTTTACAGCTATCTAGGTAATTACCTGGCATTCCTATAGGTACCATGGGAAAATGGCAGATATTGCATTCAGTCTCTCACTATTTAATTCCCATTCCGTCTGTCCCCAGTATCCTTAGCGACCGGACAACTCGACTCGAGATGTGCTGCCTTTAGCCTCAGTTCGGGGGCAGGTCAACGAATAAAATATCCGGTCCCTTCCCATTTTCGCGGAAGCCAGATCCACAGTACACAAAAGATATCAGGGATAAGCGGGTATGGCTGTACGTTCACCGCAGGAATCTTCCTGCGGTGGCGGGAGGCGTTCAACCTGCAGAGATGCTTCACCCTCAACGCCAGCGTTCCCTTCGGAGTCATGGATCGCTTTTCCGGCCTCTTCCTCAATTTATACATGGACAGCGCGACAGAGAAGGCAACTGGGATCGAAGGCGGATGGGACGTCTTCATCCACCAGGACTTCAATTATCCCTCGCTGCTCGACGGATTCTCACGAGGATGCGAGTGAAGCCCCGAACTATGCAAGAAATTCACCTGGCGGCGAAGAGCATTCGGAACGTCGACACTCCGCAGCATCCATGCATGGATGATCTCAACTACAGCAGGGAAAAGGTATTAAAAAACAGTAAGCGAAATGTTTCAACCAATCAGGGTTATTGACCAATTGGTAATAACCGATCAAAGTCCTCAAGACTTGAAGTTCGATCGGAAAGAGAATTATTACTGAAACGATATATTCTTTAAATGGATATTAATAAGAATATTTCGGAAGAGTGAAGAAATAAAAAGGGAGAATATGGAGGGTCTGTACCTGCCAAGATGCTCGATTAGAGGGTTTAAATCGCGCTTGTTCGCAGAATGGCCGTAGCGGTCTGGCCTCGCCATGAAAGCCGCAAATAGATATTTGCATCCGAGAATGCCATGGCGATAAGCGACGGTCACATATGACTATTGCTGAGTTGGATGTGGGTGGAGGCATCAGGCGTGGATCCCTGGAAATCAGAATGCATGATTGTAAGTACGTCGCCGAAGTCGTGCATTGTGACTGCAAGAGTTGCACGCCCGGCGACAGTAGCCATTCGGTGAAGGTCAAAGGTGACCTTGTCGATCACCGTGCGGTTCAGATATTCAGTTCTTTGTGGCTTTCATGATACGCCCACCCAGATCGTTCTAGATTCTATGCGGATTCATCAACCATGCAATGGAGTCCTGGACTGTCTTC